TGCATATTTTATGCACATACGAAATCAATTGAGAAAGCCGGAGTGTTTCTCTTTTATCCCTTTTGCGGGTGCCTGGATTCATGCAGGAAGAACTTAGGTTGCACTCTGTCGAGTCGACCACCCCCGCCATTAGAGTGGATGTAATAGTAGTATGGGAGCCTAAGAGGCTAAATGGGAAATTACTCGAGCGTCCTGAGGAACTAGCAGTTTTAAATAAGAGATGGCTGGCAGTAAAAAATCTTAGCGGTTGTCGAAAATGTAAAAAATATAAAGAAATACCGGAGTACGTCAGATATTGATACTGTAGATGCTCGACGAGTTCCTGATATTAGAGGTATGATAATCTAAATACGATAGCGCAAAGTGCCATTTATCACATCACACAGCGCATAGCTGCTATTGGAACTGTTAGGGATCTCAGCTCCCGTTTAATAGTCGCTACGTCGCCGCTAGATGGCTGACGATTCTGGCTGTAAGGTAGATTGCTATTGTTTCACGTGCCATAATCACGTAATTATTTTTACTATTTTGATCACTTATTAGTAATTTGAATTTCTCTTTATTGATAGTCGAGTGCCCATTCCTAGGTCAATCCATTTTCAATGATTTTCTTTTGGCAAATTTCATAGTTTGTTGATTGTATAATTTCACACGTATTATATCTTTCGTTATCAGGGACTCAGTATTGTGTTGAAATCTTTTGGACATTAATGTTATAGTATTATTAACGACTATCTTCGAAATTTCCTCATAAAATACCGTTGGACACTCGTAGATTAGTTCTGCCCATTGGCAGCGCCACCATGTGATTTCCGTACGTACTACCCGTATAGGAATATATGGTCCTATCAAGATACCGTCTTCAAGGCCACTCATTTGACCTTCTTTTAAAAAGTTAGGTTTTCTACGTCATTTACTTTCCTGCGGAGATTGTGGTGTGATCATTAATTTCCAGATTTTGGAATATAGGACTCCCAAACACCACTTTATGCAGTAGTACCCTTTTATTTGGACCATACGATTAGTTGTTTTTGTTTGGGTGCTACTCCGTCCATTTTCTAATGGGATTTCAACCACCATCGGTAAGTTCTTTTGTGTAAACCATCGGATCACGTAATTTATGTCCCGAAGAAGTTTGTTCAATATCTGCTTCCTTTTAGTGAAAAGGCATTCCGGAGAGCTGCCATTCACACTCCAGCATTGTTTTGTAGCTGCCTTATAGATGTTTCGCAACCAATTTTGTTGGAAGCCCCTTCTCTTTGACAAAAGACTCTGATGCGAACAGGTAAAACATCATTTTAATTGGATATTATATAGATATTAATACATTAATTATAGCTGACTGAAATTCATAGTGTGTTCTGGAATTTGTTTGGCAGTTTACATATTCAAATATGTGTCAGGGCCTACATGTCACCGTCTTTTAGGCTTACTACATTACATTGATCATGATTTTGTTTTTTGAGCTGCCATAACTTATATTAGAACAAGGGATAAATTTCTGACGGTATATCGCTTTAGTACATTTTTATCTTTTCTTGCCAGTGATCTTGCAAAAGATAATGTCCCAGACAGAGAATAGAGAGTAGATTTTTAAGCAGCCGTTTTCTCTCTAAAGTTTTTTTATACCGTAAATTTTGGAAAACGATGCAAGCAGCCCCTACCACGTCACTGCTCACTACTGGCCACTGATTTTTTACCTAAGCGTTTGAGAGCTGAGGACGGAGCCGTAACTGGAAGAATACCATTATTCAGATAAGTTTAGGTTTAGGCGTTAAGATATTTGTAAAGCCTTCGTCGAGTACCATGGTAAACGTTTTGCAGGTTTAATTATCACGGTCTATTAATTTTATTGTCAAGTAGTTTTGAATAATATCCTTTATTTAAAGTGGCAACTCCAGTAGTGGTTGTTTTGAAAATATATTGTGATTATTTTTTTAAAGATTATGTTTTCTTGGGCTCTCTGCATACAATCAATTAGCTTTTGCCATTACTGTTAGATTTTTTTTGTTTGTGTAGTGGTCAAGCAAAACAAGTTCCGACTAACATCTCGGGGAATTGTGGCTTTATCCCTCTTGAGTTATTGGCGCTCTTAACCCCCCTACTCTCCGCTTTATTGAGCTAGGGCCTAAATTTGCACGCCCCTTGACAGCTGTTTTGCATTGACTGATCCTTAGATTTAATTTATATTGACTTATCAATTCATTGATTAATTTAAAAAAAATGAAGGAGGAATCATTCACCACGTCCTCTTGTTTATAAAAAAGGCGTGGCAATTGAACAAACCAAACATGATGCTTTCGTCCGTTCGACCGAAAAGACATCCAGCCATTGACAGCTGTTTCGTGCTTCTTGGCTACTCATCATAATGGTAAACGACATCTACTTTATAGTCAGAATCGTCAGCCATCCAGCGGCCACGTGCTATCACACGCGAGCTGAGATCCCTAGCAGTTCCAACTAATAGCAGCAATGTGCTTCACGCAGTGGTCTATTCTGGTGTGATAGATGGCGCTTTACCGTACCTTCGGTGTAGAGGATAGTTCATATGTTTTTGTTCATTCTTCCAGAGACAACAGACCTAGACCAAGTTGATGTGTAGCCTGTTTTTCTGGTCGAATGGACGAAAGCATCGTGTTCGATATGCCATTAACAAAGGACGCCGCCTGTATTTCGACAATCACTCAACCTAGAGCTATGTGTTTTTAGAAATTTTTATAACAATAGTGGCCAAGAAAAATTGAAGGATTTTATTCCCAGCTTCCCAAAGTGTTTTTAAAATTAAATTAAATTTTCGTAAAGAGGGGTAAGAGCTCGAGCATAAGAAGAAGAAAGGCATTCTCGATATTCATAGTCTTGATTTCGCGACCAGTTTTACCTGAAAGATGCTCTCGAAGGCATACCTAGATAGTTATCGTAAAAGTCAATATCCGTTACCCAATCTAGTGGGTGGTAGTAGTAGTAGTAATAGAGGAGGCGACATCAGGCAAGTAGGCCACCATTGGTCCTTCCTACTCACACTGTAACGGTTTCACCGTCCGATTGTATTTATTAAATCACTTCTCGATTATCATTTCAGAATCGCAAATCATTAATCCCATCTCTAGCTTTTTTACTTGGAAAATTTTCCGCTTGGAGCGCTTGATACGGTGTTCCTGATCTGCGATCTTCCTCGCGTTTTCTTTTCACTTGAGCCGACGATCGAACAAGAGCTAAGAATTTTCTTCTCTGTAGCACAAGGTCATATAGTACCATGTACTAGAATTTTGTAGAATGTGTGTCCGTATAGGACAAAATGATTTGGGCAACCCCCTTTCTCTTTCCCTTTCCCTTTCCCTTTCTCTTTCCCTTTGCCTTAGTCTTTGATATCACTTCACCCATGCATGTGCCTTGGCAGCGGCATCGCCTTTAAGTTCAACTTCGCCTACAACTGGTTATGAAGCCACTATATGTGAGGTCACCCCTCATAACTGGGACCTCCACTTCAAGCACCTGGCCATCCTCGCTTCAGTCGAGTCAAAATGGACCAGCGAAAGATAAGTTGATAGTTTTATAGCAGCGCCAAAGATGTAAAACTTATTTTGTTCTTTAAAACTGTAAAATTGTAATGTAATGAAAATGCTTTTTTTTGTTAAATAAAATCTGTTAAATTTTTATGTTCTGTTTGTTCTTCTATCCTCTAGCCATGCCATGGTCGACACACAGCTACACGCCTGTAGATGTTTTCATGCCACCGACTGAGCTACCGGAAGCTAATGATAACCCCCTTTCTGTGATTGTGCAGAAAAGTTGGAATCTTCATTGCATTCCATCTTTTCTGGACATTTTGCGGAAAGGAAGCGTTACAACACCGAGTGTAAAAAACACTCGACACCACATGCTAGTTCACTAATCTGTCGAACCTCTTAATAAACGTCAGGATATCCGGTCACTCCGCTGAGTAAGCAGCTTCACCATCAAGCTCCAAAGCCCCAAATATCTCAGCTCTTAGAATGCAAGATACCGGGTAATGGTCCAAAAAGAGGAACGCCGTCTCGTCCTCCTGCCAGCGCATGGGACAGGTTGATTCTCTCCTCACCCTTAATAGAGATAAATGTCGGTTAAGTCTGCAGTGGCCGGTAAGGACGCCCACTAGAAAGTGGAACGATTCTTCGCCCCTATCCGGTGGCCAGAGAGTCCGACGCTTGCCGGGGCCTCCTACCTTTTGCCCTGTCTGCGGTCATACCTACCTCGCGACATTAGTCACAGGTCTGTGTACATCCATTCATTCAAGGCATGTGGACCTAGTCCCTGCTCTGACCCCCAGCCTAGCCAGGCGTTCAGCTTTCTCGTTTCCCGGTACCCCGGTGTGTCAGGGGACCCAGAGCATGGTCACTTCTTTAGACCTGACTAAGCTGTGATGGTTAGTGCATTCTTGAACTAACGATCACCTTGTCCTCGGGGATGCTTTACTGTCGGAGCATGCTCGGTGCAGTGCCAAACCTCTGCTGAGTATTTTACAATTAAGATGGCAAGTATCTATGTCTGGACGATCGTTGTGCAGATTACTCCTGCCCCAGATCCTGTTTCCTTAGAGGAGGAGCTGTCGATGAAGCATACAAAACACTGAGATCGAAATGTTACTTCTCCATTCACCCAGTCTACCTTCGAGCGGATGATGAATGAGAATCTTAAGTCTCCACTTTTACCGAAAGTATGAGGAGACTGCTCTCTGTCATGTTCACGATTTTGGAATCACCACCCACTTCCTCGTATATCCAGTGGCGGCAATCCCAGGATAACGTCAAGTGTTGATGAAGAGGTTGTCCGTATTACGTCAGCTATCTCCAGTGCCATTAGTCTGTGGATCTTAGCGAGGTTGCGGGCTTTTCGTTATATAGCCTCCAGACCACGCATTTATACTGTATCCTGGGTCTTACCACCGTCGAGTCGTGCAAAGCCATTGCAGGACTTTTGGCTTTGACTCCCAAGTCCTGCCAAATTCCCGACGCATCTGCTACATGATCGCTATCGACTTCTTGTAGACATAATCAACATGCTGCTTGTATGAAAACGTACAATCCAGCACCACGCCCAGATATTTTACTTCTTGACTGAAAGTCAGTGCTACACCCTGAAGGGTTGGTGTTGCTAAGAGTTTCTTCCTGCAAGCATATATTTCAAAAAATGATGGATGTACTCGCGTAATTCTTACTTGGTTTTGTCAAAATGGTGGAAGTGTCATCTGTAAGCCATTTCTTTCAGTTAGTCCTAGTATCGATCATCATCCTCCATTCAAATTCAAAAAGTCTATCTTGCATCGTGTGCTTGAGACGAAGCCCCTCTATAAGAATGGATTTTTTATTATTTGATCAGTTACGTTTTCTTTTTTAGGCACCGGACAATAAAATATGATTCCATCCCTACTATGTAAGTCAAAGTTCTAGTATTTACCATCAATTACTCAGCCAATTGTTTGGTCGCGTGTAGGATATGTTGTGTTTTAGCTTTAGCTTCTTATAATATTGGTTATACGTTTAGGTTTATATATTCGGTTTTGTTTTCCGTACGAATTAAAATAATTGCCTTCTCTTAGACAGATTGCAAATTTCATCAACATTTTTATATTGTCGCTTTCTCTACCGGTTTTAGATGCAAATCATCCCATTATTTATTCGCCATAATCCTTATCTCTTCCTTTCTTTTTCTGTAGAGTAAACGACCGCTTCTCGAAAGCAATTCAGAAAGCTCTTTCCAGTAATGGAATTGATAATGAAGACAACGATTGGGATTCGGATTCAAACAACTTCCTCGATACGATACGATACGGTACGGAATAGACAGCATACAGACCTTCTCGAATGCAAGTTGAAAAGCACACGTCGAGATTAAAAAGCTATACTAAGATTGGCCAGATGAAGGGAAATAAATCGACCAGAGCTTCTGACTGCTTATCACATGAAATATTAATGCAAAAGATGATTGCTTACGGCTTCGATGCAAATTGCATTAAATTTATGAAGAGATACTTTAGCGATATGTATCACTATGTTTTTAAATAAACAGTTGATAAGGTATGGAGTGCCTCAAGGCTCTGTACATGGGCCAGCCCTATTTTTGCTGTACATCAGTGATTTATATTCGTTATGTATGTATAGGGTAGCCCATCCATGTGTGGACGGAATATTACTCTTAAACAGACACATTTTGGTAAAATCTATTAATGGCATGTTATACATGACATTTGAGGGCACATTTCTAAAATATTGGCAATTATACGGGGTGTCCCAATTTTGACCTACATATCAAAGTTGTGATTTGTTAAGTGGAATGCCTCAAATTTTATTACTTACTTGGATAAAACAAATTAAAAGAAGAAGATTGATATAACATACTATGGTGTTTTGGTAATTAGCTATTGAGATATGAGCTATTTTGTCTAGAAAAACCCCGCACTTCGGCAACCCCTCAGTCCGTCATTTTCAAATTTGAAGTGCTGAATTTTGTATCAAAAAAAACTTACACACCTCAGCTTTTATCTTATTTGTTACTTTTTTGAATTTTCGTTTTTGCTCATACAGGGTGGTCAAAAAGCGAATTGTACTTTTTCTCAAAAACTTCAAATGCATCACCCTGTATATTTGTGCAAGTTTGGATTCAATTTTTTTAATCTTATTTTTGGTAGAAGGTTTGATTGAGATAAGATCACTAGATTTATATATATATATATATATATATATATATATTAAGGAAACAAAAGACAAACAGGGGGCTAGTTCCATATTGCCACTAAGAGTACAGATTTGACGTAAAGACTTATAAAAATCAGAACAGTATAAATCAGCTTCAAGCGTAATAGAGAAAAACAACTATAACAATAACATAAACAAACTGCTCGAAAATATCGCCATCATGTTGAATACACGGCCGTAGTCTTTGGATAAATGACCGTTGCACATCCTTCAGCACGTGTTCCCTTATGTTCAGAAAAGCATCATTAATCCTTTCCTTAATATTTTCCGAGGTAGATGGTGGATATCTATAAACCTCTTGCTTAACATAGCCCCATAGAAAGATGTCCATCGGTCTCATATCTGGTGATCTAGGAGGCCAAGATATAGGCCCATCACGACCGATACAACGATTGTTACTCCAAGTGTCCAAATAGTTCCAGGTTGGAATTACATATGCATCCGAGTTTGCAGGTTGACATCCTCCAAAAGCAAAGGGAAATGCTCGATCAATAAATTCAAGTATTCTGTACCTGTTAATCTGTTGTCGAAAAAGAAAGACTCGATAACTTGACTGCCAACAACTCCTCCCCAAACATTCAAGCTCCATTTATTGTTTAAATCTATTTGCCTAATATAACATCTCATAAATAGATTTTCCAAAATGTATTTGTTTAATAGTAATATTCCGTCCACACATGGATGGGCCACCCTGTATATACATTGGAACTAAATCAAATTACAACAGCTTCTGAACCAACTCGCCATGTGAACGGACAAAGGTGCAGAGTGAAAATCTGGTGTCAGGCCAATTCTTTATGCATCAATCAGTTGAAAACTCAACAACTAAGTCTCAATCTTAAACTCTTGAAAGAAAATACTGAAGCCAATCAACTAAGATAGCCGCATATTATGGGCATTTCCACTCTTGAATCAGCTACTTTATTATTAAGTGGGGCACACTGCTTGTCTCTCTTATGACGCTTATTATAAAAAACCATTTTAAAACTTCAATATCCTTACACATTCTTGCGTCTATATTTTATAATGTGTCCGTTACATGGAAAGTATCATTCACCTATTTAACAAGCATTCAGATGCGCACACATACAAGATTTTGTAATTATTATCACCTTAATCACTTAAGACTCAACAACTCAAAAAACGGGGGAAACTATCATTGTACAAATTAAGTTTTACGATTTTACACGAAAAGTTCAAGAGATTAAATGATGCACAGTTCCAGGGGCGGCTTGTCCTTAAGTTCTGCAGAGCTGCAGAACTGCCAAAACTTTTGTCTTAACAGAAAAAAGCAGTAGTAATTTGATCATTATTTATTTTTCATGTTATCACACAAATATAAACAATACCGGCAAGGCTGCCCCCGCAAGATACGGCGTCGGGGCTGTTTTGTATTGAGAAAGCATTATAATCTACCAATTGTGTACTTGTCATTTTTGTCGCGACCACAGCGTAACATTATTCATGGGTCACTTAAAAAGGGTCTGTGCACTACTTCGACACAAGCCGCACGCGCTTGCTTTTGTCTCTCTCTCTACGAAATCAAATGCGCGACTAAGCATAAGCATGTGCTGCACGTTATACAGATCCATACAGATCTAATGCGAAGTACTCGTACAATATCTGATTGGTCGGTCGGTGCTCGATATAAAATTTTGCGGAGCATTTGAATTGGCGCTACGGAGCCACGACGAAACCGAGAGCTCCCAAAACCCGGGAATATTTCGTGGACTGATTAATTTTTCTGCTGAGCTTGATAGAACCTTAAGCGATGACATAAAAAATGCTTCAATATTTAAAGGAACTGGATCGTATTCTTGAAGTTTGTCTTGAAAAAATAATAAAACAGATTAACAGAGCCTCGTATTTGGCGATAATAGCAGGACATTTCGGGGAAAGCCCAACTAGTAACAATTTTCAGATACGTATTTAACGGCGAACCAGTAGAACGTTTTTGGAATTATGTATATGAATCCCGAAAAATGTGACGCTGATACTACCACAAGACATATTTTGAGTGTCGTAGATCCATTAATAGGAAATTTTCCTAACAAACTGATTTCACAAAGCTATGATGGAGCCGCGGTAATGAGCGGACATAATGCTGGAGTACATGCAAAAATTAAACAAAGATATCCATTTCCTCACTATGTGCATTGCTATGTGCATCAGTTAAATCTGATTATGTCCTAAGCTGCTTCCGCAAAGTTCGGGTGCTCTTTGGGGATTTGAAAGATATTCGGGATTTTTCAATAATTCTCCTCAACGCGTAGAGATACTGAACAGAATTGTGGGGAAAAAAATCCCCAAGGAGCAACAACTCGTTGGAATTTTAATATTCGAACAATACATGTCGTGGTTGAGAACAGAATCACTCATTGAATGCATGGACGAAATAGAAGAAAATTTCACTAATGAAACCGTTTGCAAGGCAGCTTGCGGTATTCGCCGTATGTTAAACGATTCTGTTTTCGTGTTTTGGTTGACATTTTTTCATCTTGTCATGCCTCACGTCGCGACATCTTGTTCAACCAGTTGCAGAAGAGAAAAACCGAGCCAGCGCAAGTTAAAACCGCTATCGATAATTTTGAAAAATGTATTGTCAATGTGAGAAATAAAATTGATGACATAATAAATGAAGCCAAAAGTATTTGCACTGAACCCTAAGGCAACAAGAGGAGACGACGTAATAATAGCAGTCACGATCACCGAGATGCCGCATTAGAAGTATAGGACAATATAGTGAATTCTGCAAATGACAGATTTCAATGCAAAGATCATTTGGTAGCCGCATCCCTTTTTTTCCCCGAACACTTTGGAGAAAACTGTGGTAAGTTTCCTGATCACAAGTTGGAAACTACGTGCTTGGCTTATCCCGAATTAGAAAAAGGTCGTTTAAATACAGTTGTCTGTTATTTATGCACGGAATGATTACCGAGATTTACATGGAACTCTGTCTCTTCTGAAATTTTTGATACAAAATAGTTTGGAGGAAACACACGTTCAGTGGCGGCTCTATGAATGCTTTGCTATGGAGAACGACGATTCAATTGCGATTGAACTTCTATTATCATTATCAAAAAAGAAGAAAAAGAAACGTCGGTATTGGATGCATCCGTTAAACAGTCGGAGAATATACGTAAGTCCATTATATCTAAAAACACATCCAGATAAATTCTTTGATTTCTACAGGATGTCAATATAATCTTTCGATGAACTTTAGTGATGAATTAAGGAAGGATACCTGGATGAGATTATTTCTGAATACACAACATAGATTTACAAACCGAGGCCCAAGCATAAGAGACGAGCTCAGTACTTCATGATGCCGGCAGATGAAATATCATACCTACATGACGAAAGGTTTACCAATTTATAACAATAAAAGTACAGTAGGCAATAGTCTTTGTAAT